TGTGTCATATCGACCCACTTGCACACAGCCAAAGGGCAAAGAGGCAAAGAAAAGAGGAAGGGAACAGCCAAATACAACAAAACAGGGGGCAACAAGCAACAGCACCAAAAACAGATCCTAGATGACAAGTCCCACATGCAAGCACCGCCCCTCCTTCACAGGCCAAACGACGGGACGATACCACCCAGGACAAAATTCTTGTCTGCAAAAAAAGAGAAATCCCAGATTACATATTTATATACAGCAGATGGCCTTATTCGTCATCAAGACGTTGGTATCCCCAGTTGTAAACCGTTCGTACTGGGACAAAAAACATAAAAGACTATCCCAGATGACGATTCCCACATAAAAGCACCGCCCAGCTCCTTCAATAGGCCGAACAACGGGAAACAACCAACTAGGATGCCCAAAAGATAAAAAAGAGCCCGGATAACTGGTCCCACATGAAAGCACCGCTACGCTAACCGAAATAGACCGAACAACGGGACAAAACCAACCACGATGCAGACAAGGTAGCCAAAAAACATTTTCTAACATATCCGTAGTTTAAAAAAAACGGAATCATACAATAGGTCCGCAAAACGAAATACCCCATAAATGGGGAAGAGTAAAGCAAAAAAAGAAAAATGATAACAAGAAAATTAGGAGAATATTTTCTTCCATAACCAAAGAAAGAGCCTGCTATATATATATATATATATCGTCACAAACAGAATATATATATATATATATATCGTCACAAACAGAACTGCCCGGTAAACCGTAGGCAGAGAGAGAGAAGAGGACAACAAACGAGGGGCTGTGACAAACTGTTTCGTCGGAGTTTCACCGACTAATATATATATATAAGAATTTTGATAAGAGTAAAATTTATGGTTAGTCTGTCTTTATAAGATGGGAAGAAATTTCCTATATTTTAGGAAGAATATATATATAGAGAGAGAGTTTTCCATCTGGTGTGGGTGAGTGATAGTCTACTTTGATTTTGGTTAAGGTAGATTATCATTTACAGTGTAATCAGTGAGGGGATTCTGCAGACTGTTGAGGGTTCAGCCTCCTGATGAGTCAGTGAAACTCCGATGAAACAGTTTGTCACAGCCCCTCGTTTGTTGTCCTCTTCTCTCTCTCTGCCTACGGCTTACCGGGCAGTTCTGTTTGTGACGATATATATACAGGATTGCCAGGCCGAACGTATGGAGCCCCCTAAGCTGACCCCTGAACGTTCGGGCGTTCGGGTCCCCGTACGGGGCCCGAATCTGAAGGGGTTCGGACCCCGCAAAGAAATATTTTGGCACCTAAATATTATTATTTTTTCCTGATTTTTTTTTTTTTTTTGTGAGTTCTTTGTGATGTAAGGTATGTCCCTCTTAATTTTGAAGCTATTCTGTTCAGCCCAAAAAAAATGAAAAATCGGCAAAGATGGTGGTGTCAAAACTTGCTTTCCCACTCACTAATTTGTTTTTCTCTCTTTTCACTTTTTGTTTTTCCTGTATTTTGGGGCATGAAAAAAATTATTATTTTTTCAAACTTTATTTGTAGATTTTCTCTATTAT